CGGTGTATTTATTTTGCCCTAGACACAATTCAATTTGAGAATTTGGTATAAAAAATGTTTCTTGTCAAATGAACACAGTTGACAGAAGTTTAAGCGCCTACCACACGTTCATTATTCGAACGCAAACGCGAACGTATACGTAGGTTTTGTTAACGTTCGCGTTCGAAACGAAGAAAACAAATCAGCGTTCGCCTATGTTATGTAGAAAAAATTCTCGCAGTTGTTCGTACTCGTATGTACTATGCAACTTATAGCTGCATTTGTGAAGGCACGATGTTGAATCATTAGTACCCAAAAAAACTTTAAGGACCGGTTACTCAATGTCTGGTTAACACTAATCTCCGGTTAAACATAGTTATCGACGTTACCGACTCCCTGTTATATGCATGGAGTCGAAGTCGTCGATAACGAGGTTTAACCGCAGATTAGTGTTAACCAGACATTGAGTAACCGGCCCTAAGCGTGTAGGGGTGCCTTATTGATGCATATTTTACCACTGAGGGTCAATTCCCGTTCCGCGTTAGTCTGCGTTCAAACACGGAAACTCGAGTTGCTTATTATCGGCGATTTCCCTTTTGGTGTTGCCCTTTGCATTCACACACAGAAACTATTTTGTACGCAATTGTTGTTGTCAGCTGTGAATCGCCAACTTGAATTACTCAGACAAACGAGAGCACAAAGTGTGTTTCCCGTCCCCTTTCCTCGTCGCTCTCTCCCCTACAAGCTTCGAGTTTCCGCAACAAAAGTTTTCGTGTCTGAACATCGACTTTTCGTGAAGTGAAAAAAAAACTTTTCACTTTCGTTTTCATTTGATGTTTTCACGTTTTCACTTCATCAATCTCTAAAATGCGAATCTTATTTATGCTATGAAAACTGCTCGCTGAATAGCTTATGAAATTGCGCTGAATGATATTTTTTTGACACATGGTGTAAATAAAATTGAATTTTAAACTATTATCGAACCTCCACAAAATGTCTGCTGTAATTTTTTTACTAAATTTGTCTAGAAGATTGCGGAAACGACTCAGGTAAAAATCGCGAATTGATAGTTTTTTCATTTTGATGCATATGTTGTTTTTTTTTTACATTTTTAAGGAGCACCCCAGACTTTTAAGAAGGAATCTTCGAGATATGGAAAACCCATTCACTAAAATAATAGAAGAGCACTTTGTCGAATTATATCGATTTTCAAAGGCACTATGCGTTCAGTTGATTAATGAACTCAAACCATTCCTCAAGGGCTCATGTAAATTGCATGCCATTCCGAGCCATATAAAGGTTCTGTGCGCACTTCGATTTTTTGCCACTGGTAACTTTCAGCGAGCATTGGGACAATCGATGGGACTCATATAAATATATGCGCACCAAAAAAAGAGATTGAACATGTGTACTACTGCCGCAAGGGTGGCCATTCCAAAAATGTACAAATTATATGTGATGCCAACCACCTTATATTAAATGCAAGTGCTAGATTTGGAGGTACAGCCCATGACTCCTATATTTGGCGAAGTTCGAAAGTGCACGACTCTCTTAAGCAACATTTCGATAGAGGAGAACGTGATTTCTGGCTTTTAGGAGATAGCGGATATCCATTACAAGTATACCTTTCTAATTTCAAAAGCTTTTCTAGATATTTTAAACCTTAATAATTCTTTACTTAGCCTTGGCTGATGACTCCAATCGCTGAACCAGCATCTAACGCCGAAGAAATCTATAATATAGCACATAAAAAAACAAGAGCTCTTGTTGAAAGACGCATTGGGGCGCTGAGGAGCAGATTTCGTTGCCTATCCAAGAAAAGGGTACTTTTTTACAGTCCACAAAAATCAGGCATTATTATATATGCTTGTATCGTACTGCACAATTGTCTTATATCTGCTAGAAAGCCTTTCAACGAAAGGATTGAAGAATCTGAAACATGAAATTAGTCCAACATTTGACAATGTTTTAAGTGAGGCACGAAGACAACGAGCAAGAATTGTTGAAGCCTTTCGCCAGTGAATAAAAATGAAAATAACTTTCTTTTATATTTGAAACTTTAATGTAAATTAAAGCAGGTCACACATTAGGCTTGGTTGGTAATTTTTTTGTTTGAATCGAAATTGAATAGTCAAGGGTATCGGTAAGGTTCTAGAATACAGTGCACAATTTTAGATAAACCCATCAAGCCATTTCGTCGAACAATAAAAATAGCAGCATGATCCAATATTTTTAAAACTCCTTCACCCTGGGTCAATATGGATTGATCATGTACAGTGGTCGAATAAATTTTAGCCGATATCATCTTTCTTCAAGCTTACTAATTCCTCTAGCGCCTGCTCTTTTTTTCTCGTTGTGGGTAAAATCGTCATAATCTATTACGTCATCAGCAAACAACTTGTCTCTTGTCTGGCGCTTCTTAGTTTTCTGAAGTACCTTTGGCGTTTTGCTATTCAGAGTGGAGGGCATTGCATCGTTTTGATATGCGTCCGTCGGACTCTCCGGAATAAATTGTGTAGTATCCACTTCAATAACTTCTTCAAACAACGGAGGGCTCCGATCTATAAAGCAATCCTCTTCCTATAGGTATTTGAATTAATAAAGATACATTAATAAGCATACATACTAACAAATAAGAACACACTTAATAGGGCTGTTCAGGATCTTGCGTATTCACAATTTTGTCAAATCCAAGTTCAGGATAATAGTCTCCATCCACTGCTTCCTTTGAGATTAAATTTATAATTCTCTTTTGAAACTCTGTCATTTCCTTTAGCTTATTATACCATTTACGCCACTCCTTTCTTGCTGCTGCTTTATTGAACTATATTTTGATTTGGTGGAGAGCCTATTAACAAATTTAGGAAAATGTTTGACGTTGTTATTTTCATTAAAAACATTCATGCCAATTACGGTATTCATGCCACCTTGGCATATGCTCTTGCATTTGCCACCTAGGCATCCGACTCATCTATTCCGATCTCTACGGTCATAACAATCGAATGTGAAGGATTAAATTCGTGTGAATGGCATGTATTATCCGACGGATTCCTTCACATGAGATTGTTATGACCGTAGGGATCGGAATAGATGTGTCGGATGCCGTAATTGGTATGAATAATTTTTACCTCAAGTCGGTCCAAAATTTTCTCCACTTTTTTCCACATTTTTGTGCTGCTCCCAGTCCATTAAGTGTCTGCGCCAATTCCTCCCACTTCTTATGTTGGGTTTTAGCTCCGTCTACCCCTATAAATCTATGAAAACGCACAATCTATAAGCAATGTTAAAACGGCAAAAGTATAAAAATTACTTATCGTTGGCTAGGTCAGGATTATTTTCTAAATAATTAATGAGGTGCTCCTTTTGGACTTCACTTGCTCTTTTTGCACGACGTTGAATTTCTTTTTCCATTTTCAATTTATTTTGCTTGCAATTGCGTTTAACGCGGCATTTTTTCGGCGTTAATTTGGTTTTCACTTCACTTCAATTCGATCAGCTGTTGGCACTTTAACGCAAAACGAGAATCGCTAATGTGGTGAATTGGTGAAAATATTTTTCACTTCTCGTTAAGGCCCTGTCTCCACAGGAAAACACTGATGTCGTGATTACCATGTCACAAAATATATTTCCAATGGAGACCGCCTATTTCTCATGTGCTGCAATATATGTCAGCGCTTATTGCTTGACATCTATTGCAGGCAATTCGATAGTTGGACAGCCATATTTTCATTTAAAAGAACGCGTGCTGGTGGTAACATCGATGAAATTTTGATATTAAATCAAAATAAAAATCTGTTCCGTATTGGATAATTTATGATTACGTTTTAGGAAGTTATTTAGCTAGTTTTTTTTAAGATTTAAATGTTTTTAAACACCGAAATTGAGAGAATGTTGTCTGGTGGCGTCATGCGGCAAATGCTTATTTCAAGACATCAAAGTGCCCACACACAAAAACTTGCAATCACATTGCTCGTCAAAATGACAGTTGGTAGGCCATCGCTGTTCGCCTGTGGAGTTCTGCGGTAACGCAGAACGGGAATTGACCCTCTGGTGTATTAAACATACCAACCAGTGTTGCCACTTGACAATATTTTTAGGAACAAAAAATCCTACCAAATCAGTTTCCAAACTACTATTTTTACAACGCTTTTATCAACTTGCAATGTTGTGTTCCAGAAACTTTCA